ATGGTCCCGGGTTCAAACCCTGCCCGCTCCCATCCCCCGTCGTCCTGCGGGAGGTTTGGACTAGGAAGTAATTATCTTCAACTCTGAAGGAACATCCGAAACATGTAAAACATTTTACAAACATATGCCCTAGAAAAATGAAGAAAAAAAAAAATTTAAAGTAAAATATAACATTTCAATATTCAAAACCTGAGTTTGACAATTAAATTTATACTTATGCATATTCATTAATTTGTTTCTGTTTCTAGACAAAGTTCGAGAGGCCAATGGCTGTGTTCTTGTTCATTGTTTAGGAGGAGTTTCCCGCTCAGCAACCCTTGCAATCGCTTATATTATGAAATATATGAAAATGTCATCTGACGAAGCCTACAGGTTTGTTAGCATTACATTTTACCATTTCTCTTCATTGTGCTCACATTATTATTGATAAGCAATTGCAACAGATTGATTTTGTATTTTAATTAAAATACTCTACAAATATAAGAGTAGCTTGGAACACTGCATTGGGTATATAGGTTATAGAAATCCTAATTTAATATAATGCTCATTACATTCCAGATATGTAAAGGATAAACGGCCAACCATCTCACCAAATTTCAACTTTCTTGGGCAACTATTAGAATATGAAAAGATCATCAGGAAAGAAGAACAGCTGGAAGAAGCTCGCAGAGAGGCTGTCAAAGCCACTACTTTTGATGACAGTATATCCTGTGAAACAGAACGAGCCAGTCCAGGGTCCATGGACCTTCATACTACCAGTCCTTCTTCTCCAGGACCGCGTACTCTACGCCAGACAGTTAGCACCTCTATGCTTTTCAAACTAAATTTAACTCAGGAAACTGAACTGTTCTCAGACACTACATCCCAGATACCTGCATGGCACCGCAGACCTCAAGGCCTGGCTACCAGAAACATAGTGCAGTCACCTGTAAAGGAAGTGAGCAGATTTTCTTTAGTTGGTTGTAAATCTGACACAGATGCTGCATGTTTTAATGTGACCAGTCACCAACAAACATCAGTGGATATAATGACTAACATCTGTGATAGAAAAATTGGGTCAGAAGATTTGCTGTTTGCCAAATCTTCAGTTTGTCCCATCACTGGCTTTCCTAGCCCTGGTGGGGGGGTCAATCATGACTTTCCCAAACCAATTTGTACCATAACAGGTTTTCCAGGACCTGAACAGTATGGCAGCAATCAACTTGATGTAACAGACTTTGATACAAAGACATTGTTTTTAGACAACTCTGCATATCACTCTAATGTAAGCAGCAGCACTACAACTTTAAAAATCAGTGACACCATTGTCACTAATCCCACAACTCAAAAGACTCAGAAAATGGAGCAGCAACCTAAAATAAAACAGGGATTAAGCTTTTCGTCCATTTTCTCAAACTTTCGCTGGAAATCAAGACCGCCCACACTTCCGTTAGGCTCCCCTGTGGGTGCAGTTAAAGAAACTGGGCATTCTGTTAAAAAGCAGGGAGGAGATTTAAGTGGTGGAGGTGATTCCAGAGTGCAGTTGACCCCAGTGTCTGAGGCAATTGAGAACTGTGACATCATTTTAACAGATGAAATGACCAGTAATGTGTCCATTGACCACAAGGAGAATAAAAAGATGGATAATGACATTTATGTACAAACATACAATAAATCAGGCAGCAGTCATGCAACTACTTCTATAATGGCATCTAAAGTAATCAATTCATGTTTAACTCCAGGTTCATCCGAGACCACTATTTCATCTATCAACAAATCAACATCCCTTAAACTAAGTGCTAAACAGTTTACTCTAGCTCTTAGCTCTCCCACTTCAGACTTTCCTGTCTGCTTCTCATCCTCAAGTCACAAGCCTCTCTCCCCAGGTGATAACAAGAGGAAAAGTGGATTGACCAAATCTGACTTTGACAGTCCTGACAAACTGGCCAAGACAGAAGACGTTCACCAACATACTCTATCACCTCCAAAAACTTTGAACATATCCCAGGGTTCTTCTGACAAGTTACGACAGAGAACTTCAGCTAGGAGGTCCTTTGTATTACAGCTATCATCTCCAACCACAGCTATGTCAAGGCTTAACTTCAGTTCTCCATCAGAGAAAACAAATGAATCATTATGGGCAGCAAGAGAGGAATGTTCATTGCTTCAAACTGATTCCTTGGTACCAATGGAAATAGATAAATCAATTAGTGCATCTTTATTTACATCAAATATTTATTTTACAGATGGTGAATTAGGCAGATGTTCAGCTTCACAATCTACTTTCACTAAGTCTGATACTGGTAAAAAATCAACCCAATCCATTGAACCTAACTTTGCTGTTTTTCCATCTTCATCACAATCATCATTGTCAACTACATCTTATTCAACAGTAGATTTACCATCCATTGTACAGGAATGTACAACTGCACCAGTTAATGATTTAGCGATTGCAGCATCTGCAGCTTTAGACAGTTTTCAGGAGCTCCCCACTACATCTCTGGATAAATTAAGCTTCACACCATGTTTTACCAAAGACATTGTTAATGAATTTAGGGCACGAAATGCTAATCTGGCAGCCAGGGAGGATCACAATGAGCCAAGATCTTCAGTGCTAGACTCACCAATGTCAATCAGTAGTGGCAGCTCTGCACCAAGTCTAGCAAGTTCCACAATTTCACCAATTGAATCCAATATGGTAAATCCATTTTCTGACTGTGAACAGAAATTATATGATGAAACTACCCCATTAATTCATTCAGAACCCCATACTTTAGGACATGCAGTCTCAACTAGTCTAAAGCAGCCTGTTGTGTCCCCAAGTTCAGATTTCAATTTGTCTCCATCCTCTATGCCCCAGGCAACAATGTCACCAATACTACCAAGCCTGACATCCCCCAACTTTTACAGCAGCACTTCTTCTCTAGAGCTACTTTCCCCAATGTCTATAACAGACAGCACCTCAGACTCTCCAAAATTACTATCAAAGAGAAGCAGCCTTTGTTCTCTAGCCCAGTCTTCTGCTAGCTCCCCAATCCTGTCATTGCCATCACCTCTTGTGTCCTCACCATCTATTTCTCCAATGGTAACCTCCCCAACTTCCAGTTCATTTCATCTTGCCAGCTGTTCTTCATCTACTTCTTGGACCAGCATGACCAAAGTGATTCGACGTGATAAAAGTAAACGAGTTATAGACAGACCATATAGCATTGCTTTCTCGTCTTACCCTGCTTGTGAGTTGGTCCCCAACAGCACCAAAGATGGCAGCTCTGTTGGTCAGACTAGTCAGGATGATGCTAGTGAAGCCTATATGTCAGTCAGTAGCAAAAAATCACGCCTAAGCAAGGCCAGTGACTGTCAAGCACTCCAGGGTCGCACTTCATGGAGTGGCTACTCAGAGAGAGAAGTTTATAACAAATATAAAGAAATCACAGCTGCTATGGAAAATGCTATGATGCGAACTCAAGTATTTTCCATGCATTCATCACCAAACAGTAGGGGAGATACAACTCGAGCTACTTCTAGAAAAGCTCGCAGCTTGGAAGACTTTTTAGAAAGTAATACTTCAGAAAGAGAGGAGACCTTGACCTTTAAAGGTGGTAACCAAAGGTGGAGACATTATAGAGAGTCACACTTAGAGCCCTTTTACTGTGGTATGCACAGCACCAGTGAGCCATATCATTCCAGTTCAAGCCTGTCTTCAAATGGCAGTCATGGATCCAGTCTAGAGATCATTCAGGTATCTTAATCATGGATTTTTTTGTTTACTCCTTGGTTTATTTGTAGTGTCTTTTTAGTTTGCATATGTACAAGAAACACAAACCAACCCTTGCATCTACCAACTCCCTAAAGTTACTCACTTCTTCATAGATTTTGTAAAAAGTCATTTTAAATTTATATATAATCCTTTTTGATTTTACATTTTCACAATTACAAATAAGTTAAAGTAATTCAATAAAATTAAATTTAAAAAAAAATTAAATTAAGATGGTGGCTGATGAAATTGCTAAGAGTTCTGTAAAATTCTGATTTCACTACAAATAACATTTTTAGGTGATGGTGTTCCTTATGTCAAATTAATTTTAAAGTTTGATTTAGAACTATTCAGCCTTTTGTGATACTTTTTTTTTAATCTAAAATTATCATTAAAAGATTCTTTAAATATATTAATGCTCAATTTCTATTGTTTTCCTGTTCTATCAGGATCCAAATTGAACATGCCATCATTATCCACTATTTGTAACTTTGTTTTGGAAAATTTTGGGCTTTTTAGTTACCAGATACCTATATTTTTTTTATTTTTTTGCATTCTACCAAAATTTGTTGGTGTTTTGGTTATTGGTTAAAGTTTTTTTTCTCCTTTTAATTGCACACATCTTAGAAATTTTCCTTTTCTGTATTTTGGTGTTGTGCACCCTGCCAGTGGCATCACTAGAGTAGGTGTCACCCTGTGCGGATAGCTCAGGGTGTCACAGCCCACCAAGTTTCCACCTAAATTTTTGACGAAAAATTGAAACATGATCTAATTAGTTACATTATTTGATTGTTAGGAAACTGCTAAATGAGTGTTAATTCTTTTGTAAAATTTTGTTTATGACATTTTATCAATAATTATAACTTATATAAATATGAACACTCTTAAAGTTAGAATCAGACTTTCAATCAACTGAACATACTGTTTTTATTAAGCTTCTCAAACTTTTACTAGTTAACCCTCCGAGACATCTTGTAGTAGGCACAGTAGATATTTTCATTTCTTATGTAGAATCCTGTTGAAATTTCATCTTTCATACAACCTTTTGAATTGAGCTTGTTGCTAATATCATTTGTGAAAAATACAAGTTCTACTTAGAAGATGAAACAATGTTAAATTTAATTTCATAATTTAATTTATTAAACTTTTGTAGCAATGTCCTTTTTACTTGATTAATATTCAGATTTAGAATAACCTCCTCTACCATGCAAGTACTATCGATTTTTTTTCCCTTAAAGCATGAAACATTTTTTACAACAAAAAAAGCAAAAAAAAAAAAAAAAAAAGTCAATAAAATATATTAAAATCTTTATGTATACATTAAAAGTGCATTAACATATATGGGTAGGTACCTAGCTACAGTCAATCCTTTTTTTAAAGTCAGTTTTAACAATTGTTAAATTGTTTTCTATTTGAGTGTTATCCCGTATGGTCTCCACCCCCCCAGTGATTGCCACTGTTGTCATCCTTATTTTTTCCCCTGGTAATTGAGACTATTTTATGTTTGTCATTTCTTGAGATATATTTGTATTATTTTGTTAGTATATGTTTTATTCTTTTAGTTATCACTATTTGCTTTCTTTTATTTGATTGTTGTGATGTTTGAATTTGCATGAAGTTTCTTTTATTACAGCATGTTGGGAAATCTCTTGTAGATTTGACATTTAGTCTGGATTTCTTATTTACTTTTATCCTTGTGAAATACATTGCAACGAAGCAATAGAATCACAAGAGGAATTTGCTGACTTTGAGAGATCTTAGTGAGAATCTTAGATTGAGCCCTCTATTTCTTTTTCTTTCTAGTAAGTCTCATGTTTAGATTTCTGTTTCCTTATTAATGTCTTGCTGGGCTGAAGATGAATTTCACTCCTATTTTCTTTAGGAACCAAAATACTTTCATTACTATATTTTTATATATTTGACTGCATATTTCAATGAGGCCTTATGATCTGCTGAAATAGTCTATGAGTATTGTAGGTGTCAATCTAATGCCCCTATGAGATTGTTATTGGGATATTTGAACTGTGAAATGTTTTATAGACTTTTTATTGTTGCCTTAATTAAACTAATGTACATAGTTGTTGTTTTCAACGTTTAAACAATTTATTTATTTTGTTTTGATTCTGAGATGATCTCAGTTTTTGTTTCCATCATTTTGTCTCCAGTCAAACCTTTTGAAAAGAAAAGACAGTATTTCATTTTCTTTATTTATAGGCCAGGTTTTTGTGGAATTCACCATTAGAACCAGAGATATATTGCTTCTATATGTGTTTGTTGTCAATCATTCCATATCACTTGAATTTATGCTTGTTAGCCCTTCTCCGTTTGTGCAATGTAAAGTGGAGATGTTTGAATAAACTGTTTTGTTGTTTAAGTCATTTCTAAAATAAAGATTGCATTTGTTCCTTTAATACAATATTTGTGTCCTTCTTGAGCAGATAAAGTGCATAACTTGCATTGCGTCCAATGTAGCACTTTTAGATTGTTGCACACTACAAACATTATTTAATTGTAATTTAATATCTTTATTCACAACAAATATTAATAACTCAAATAATGTAACATTTTTAAAGGAGGGGGTCAAGTTATTTTAGAAGGAGCCTTGATTCCCAAATGATAAAGCTACCACAAAGCTAATACCTAGAGATGACATCAGATGGAGACAAAAGTTTTCAGACACAAATTTAAGATGAGCCAACCCATTTTCTCAGTGGTTGTAATGGTGTAACACCAGCATTAAATTCTGCTTAGTTTGCTTATAGAAAAAGATAATTGACAGACAACTCTGGTCCATGGTCTCTGGGATTTGCTTTGAAAATATAGATCTTAAATGTGTTTAGACACGTCAAACTCATGCTTGTTTTTTGTTTTTTTAATTACAAAATATGGGCCCAAAGCAACTAAATTGAGAAGTTTATATGTATTATGGAAGCAGCTCCTTATTCGTTTTTTCATATACTAAGAAGAGTAGCCATTGACAGAACAAAATTGGGATAATGGCCACATTGTTATTTTAGAAGGCATAAATCTGATTTCTGGTAGCAATCAAAATAATAGTAATATGGTTTACATTTGAACTAGTCTCTAGACTATCTTTACTATGTCCTTTCAATTCTTTCAGAATGTGTTTTTGTACAACAGTGCAATTGCCGCTGTTTATTTAATGTATGAACTTTGACCTAACTAGCTCTAACATGTCAGCATTACTGTCATGGCCTAAGTACTAAAGCATGCCAGTATTAACACATCAAATCTAAGCATAAACATTTTGGAATTAATTGTCACCTCCTAAATATATTGGCACAACTTTCAGAGATGCCTACATACATGCATCTTGCGTGTTTTGTAAGCAAATGGAAACGAAAATACGCAAGTAAGGTTTATGATATTAAATACGCTCCCCCCCCCCCCCCCCCCCCGCAAAAGCAACAAAAAAAAAAGAAATTAAATAATCAAGTTTACAAAGACAGTTTGTGTGGAAACTCAAAATCGGCCTCCGAAGTGGTCCAATCAGGCAGGTTGCAATATTTTCAGAAAGAATATCAGAATGAAATTTTATCAAAGGCAAATGACAGAGAAGAATTGAAAAAGAAGGTTGGCAGATCTTGTGTGTGGTGCCCCAACGGTCAGGCAGACTAAGGGATAGGTGAAAAAGTGCAATGTGAACCTCGCCAAACTGTTGTCATATAATGATTATCTAATTGTTCTGTAAATGGTCAATCTGTTATTCATAGCCTCAAAAAAAAAAAAATTCTCAAGAAAAAAAAATCTCTTTAAAAAAATCTCCCCTTCCGTTCATTGTTCCATGGCTATAGCACAGCGCTGCAGTTCGCGCAATAATATAAAGCACTACTTATTAAAATAATAAGGCTTGTCGTCGAGTCCGAGGATAAATGAGGAATGCAGTATTTCTCGTGGCTGCGCAGCAATTACTAGATCTAGATCTAAATTAAAAAATTAAATTATATGTTACATAGGTTAGGGTTGAAAAAAAAACAACTTTACTTCTTTTAACTACTTTACAAAATTACGCCTTGATCCAACTTTCTAAAAAATGATCACGATCGATCAAAAACGCATACGAATTTATTTCCGGCTTACAGTCTAGATATAATGTATAAGTCTATGGTTTAGTTCTAATTCATTGGACTTTTTATAGATCTAGTATTACTTTAAAACGTTTTATTATGTCAGGCACCGCGAATTTACGTAAATCTAGATTTATAATTAAGATCCAAATAAATCTAGATATAGTCTTATCTCAATGTGACCAGGTGTGTTCTATATGTAGAACTTAATCTTGAGAGAATCAATTAGGCCTAATCTAGATCAAAGTAAATCTTATTATCGACCTAGATTTAGACTACTAAGTCTAGTAGCTCTAGGATCTAGATTTAGGATATCTGTAACTAGAGCTAGATGTACTCAAAAGTGCACAGCCACTTCTGCCATCTTATCATTTATGGAATCTAAAATTTAAAAATTAGCTGATCTAATTACTCTAGGTCTAGATCTAGTATCTCACATTCAGGACATCAGCCTACAATTCCGTAGGATTATTGAAAAATAGCTTTAAATAGCCTTTTTAAATTAAAACCAATGAACTGTTAACGAAGCTGCCTCTAGACTAGATCTAGATTCGATTTGTAAACCACCATAGTCATAAGACCACATGGATGCATCCACGCTCAAAAGCACTGGCATCTGTTGGATTACATAATAGTGATGCAGTGTGATGTCAGGGATGTGGTGCACACTAGAGTAATGCCCAGTGCCGACTGTTACACGGACCATCGTCTTGTCCGGACGAAGCTGAACATCACCATCAAGATGGTAAAAAGATATGGCCTGCCTAGGGCAAAGAAGCTAAATGTTGATAGGCTGGCTGACGTACGAGAGCGCTTCATGGTACTACTCGAGGCTGATCTTCGAAAGCCCCAGGACGATGACCCAGTGAGTAACTGGAGCCAGCTAAAAACGATACTTCAGGGCGTGACGGCCAAATCCGTGGGATACTGCAGTAAACCCAAAAGAGACTGGTTTGACTAGAACAATACCGCTATTCAAGAACTGTTAAAGAATAAGCACAAGTACTATCGCTCTGTTCTTGCGAACCCTAATGACAACGCAGCCAGAACTCTCTATAAAGCTTTTTGTCACACTCTGCAGTCAAAGGTCAGGGAACTAAAAAATAATTGGTGGCTTGAGCTGTCCGTAAACATGCAGAGACATGCTGACACTGGTGACACACGTTCTTTCTATGAATCGCTTCGATGTACCTATGGCCCAACTTACCAGACTACAGCACCGCTAAGATCATCCGATGCTTCTACCCAATTAACTAGCAAGGCGGACATACTAAATCGCTGGACAGAACACTACAGTATGCTGTTTGGTGATACAGTACACTACAGTATGCTGTTTGGCAAATGTTCCTCAAAAAACTATGACAGAGGAGCTCGACGACCCACCGACATTTGAGGAAATTGAGACAGCAATATCTAAACTAAAAAAACACAAGGCACCTGGCTCTAATGGATTTCCCGCTGAAATATTTAAAATGGGTGGTGTCGCCCTAACCGAGAGGCTAACAGACTTGTTCGCTCTATGCTGGGAGAAGTGCGTGGTCCCACCTGAACTTCGAGATTCCGTTATATCCCTATACAAAAAGGGTGACAAGTCTAACTGCTCTAATTATCGACACTTCTGTCAGTATTAGGAAAGATCTTTGCTCGAGTGTTGCTCGACCGACTAACCCACTCTTTAGTGGACGAGGTCTTATCTGAAAGCCAATGTGGTTTCAGAGCCTGTAGTGGTACATCTGACATGATAATTGTTCTGCGACAAGTACAAGAAAAATGTAAAGAGCAGAACCTAAACCTACACGCTGCCTTTGTGGACCTCACCTGGGCATTCGACACGGTCAGTCGCGATGGTTTGTGGAGGATTTTGGCTAGGCTGGGATGCCCACCTACGTTCCTATCCATTCTCAAGCAGTTTCTTGTGGGACAAAAAGGCCACATCAGACACAATGATGCCCTTACTGATCACTTCCCAATTGAAAATGGCGTGAAGCAGGGCTAAGTATTTGCTCCTACTCTATTCGCTATCTTCTTTGGCGTAATGCTGGGTTAAATGAGGCAGCGATTGCACGAAGGCATCTACATCTGGCTTCGTTCAGACGGCAATCTCTTCAATCTTCAACGTCTTTTATCACATGCAAAAACAAAGGAGATGGTCATAACGGAGCTTCTCTATGCAGATGATTGCGCCCTGCTAGCTCACAATGAACATGATCTCCAGAATGCGATAAACGAATTTGCATACGTTGCCGCCTCTTTCGGTCTATCTATAAACCTCGGGAAAACAGAAGTCCTGTTGCAGAAGTCACCCAATAAAACATACTCAGCCCCAAGGATCACCGTAAACGGACAGCCCCTTAACGTGATAGACCACTTCACATATCTAGGTAGTAGAATGTCAAATGACGCTTCACTTTCAATGGAGGTTGATAACTGTCTGGCCAGGGCTAGAAGCGCTTTTTGACGCTTTCAGGCGAGAGTTTGGCGGAACGATCTGCCTACAAAAATCAGTGTCTACCAGGCGGTGGTTCTCTCGTCCCTGGCTCTGAGACATGGACACTATACAGTAAAACAACTAAGCCTTCTTGAGCGCTTCCACCAAAGATGCTTGCGCTCCATCATGGACATACGGTGGCAAGACCGCGCTACAAACAGCGATGTCCTTGCGAACGCCGGTATGGACAATATAGAGGGACTTCTTATGGTACGGCAGTTATGCTGGGTGGGGCACGTATCCCGTATGAGAGACGAACGTATGCCATAGGCAGTCTTTGTTGGTGAGCTAAAAGGTGATCGACGTAACAGAGGTGCCCCACGGAAACGCTTCAAAGACCAGCTTAGGCGTCAACTTTCCTTGACTGACATAGAAGAGAGCACCTGGTTGCATGCGGCCTCAGCTGGAGGTCACTCACGAAGGCCGTAGGATATACATTTTAGACCAAAAGAAAATCCGCTGCCGAGGACAAACGCAGACGGCGAAAAGAAAATCTAAATCGACCACATACGGACAATGGTTATGCTTGCCCTGGATGTGGCAAACTATGTAGGTCACGGGAAATACTGCACTCCTCACTAATCTTCGGACTCGAAGACAAGCCTTTTATTATAGTCATAAGATTAAAGTGAGAAGATATTGTGGTTAATCAGTCTCTGAGCATGACAAAGGGCATCAAACTGATGTGCCCAGACTCTAAAATGAAAGTAGGCAGATCTAAAGCTATACCATTACCTATGAAAGTCTCTGCATTCAAATTATGAAAAAAGGGACATTAAAGGCTGAGTTTGTTTACAAAAGAAAAGCGTTCAATTCCTTGACGCCCCTCCTCCTTC